ATCTTAGTTAGAAATCATGTTAACAAAAGTAATATTTTATTAAAGTGTACATTTTTATGGAACTGAAAACAATTTATATTATTATTATACAGGATTTATATAGCGCCAATAGTTTGCCCAACGCTTTACACAATGGACGGAGACAGTACAGTTACAATGTTACAATGCAGTTTTAATACAGGAGGGTTAGGAAGGTCCTGCTCATAAGAGCTTATGAGGCAAGTGATACAAAAGGTAATAATTGTGTGGGATGAGTTAATGGAAGAAGAAAAAAAGGACAGTTATTATGTGCTGTGACAATTATTACAAGGTGGGATAGCCTTCCCTAAAGAGAAGCGCTGTCAGGGATCACCTAAAGGCAGAAAGAGTAGGAGATATCCGAATAGTTTGTGATAGGAAGTTCTAGAGAATGGGAGAGGCTCTGGAGAAGATAATAAGCTATTATACCATGTATATATAATTGTGTGTATAAAATGTGTTATATTTTGTAAAAATTAATGTTGTTCAATCCTCTTACAGTGAAAATGATGCCTCCTCTGAAAATGAACATCTTCTGAGCCGCAGTATAGACAGTGATGAGGAAGCAGCTCTTGACAAACAGGGAACAGCAGACCTCTGCCTCTTGTCCTTAGTTCACCTGGCAAGAGACAAGTCAACCACAAACAACAAACTGACTGGGGTAAGGCACTATTTCCCTTACAATCTTTATTAACACAATATTTGTTTCCTCCTAACTACAAACAAACATGTATTAAGGTACCTGTAGCCATTAGACAACTGTCTTCTAATATATACAATATCACATATATAGACCGATGGTCAAAATCACTGAGCACTTTTGAACACTGCAAATCTTTTTTAGCTACTACTATAGAGACTAGAGGTTTCCTTCCAATAGCTTATCATTCCAATATTAGAACTGAGATGGGGCTCTATGCAGACCACTACCTAAATTCAGGTTTCCCATGGATGGTGAGATCCATAACACATTATTACAGTAGATGAGAGTCCTGCGTAGTCCTTTGAAATGTCTAAATCTGCCAAGATTTGTGTAGCTACATCATGCAACATTATGCATGCGCATCTTGCCATTTATGACTTGTTGCTTGCCAAAGTTGGAAAGTGGAAAGTCTAATCATAGCTTAAGTTAGTGGCTCAGGTTTAAAATGTGACAAGTGTTGTCTGTTGTTTTTAAAACAGTACAGTCTTGTAGAATTGTGTGGCAGTAGTATAAAAGTTGTCACATCTTCGAGGTCCACTTACACGCACCGTCATTCAATGGAAATCCATTTCCATATCAGTGAAGTGATAGGAATTCAATGTTTACCCTACTTTTTAGCAAATATGTTAACTCATCTGTCTCCTTTATGCATGCCGCAAGCAATTGCATTGTTGGCACTTCGCATACCCAGAAGTATCTCAACCACTACCTCGTAAACTATTTAACCTAATTGAATTTAAGTGTTTTTACCAAGAATATCCAGAAGAGAACAATCCTCTCTGTTGATACAAGACAACTGGAAGTTGCCCAAACCCATAACACTCAAAACCCTGCACAGATGCCTGTCTTGTTTTCCTAAGCAAAGTCAATTCTTATTGTAACAATTAGTTACTTGTACTGCACCTTTGAAATGGTATTGCTACCGAACCTTGCATGAGAAAGACAACAGTGTTTAATGCCTAATAGTTGGCCCTCAATTTGTTTTCAAAGGTTCCTTATTGCTTAACATTAGAACAAAAACATTGAGGATGGTACATAGAAGTACATATGAACTGCTCTAGTAATGGCCTCCAGTGTGTCTCGGAGACAGAAACTTACATGATAATGTTACACTCTGTTCCTATTTCTTTCAACCAAGCTGATCTGTCTCAAAAAATAACTGTACAAAGGAAAGCAGATGATACTATAACACAGTAATAATACTTAATCAGTTCAACCGTCAAATAAAACTTATATGTAGTTTTCCTTCCTTATAAAGCTGAACGCTAATATATAAACAACAAAGTACATAGTTATGCAATCATTAAAACAAAATTTATTTGGAAACTCAACTGGAATAGGCACCCAAATTTGTCTTTATATCGGTCTACTGTGATCTCCTATACAGCAGCACTCAGACTGGGAGGAGACAATCAGGCTCAGCTTAATTGTCCAAACAGTAGGCTGGGGATGTTTTTGATGCAGTGTTTTTGACCAAGCTGTGCTTCTATTTCACTGGAGTCCAAGGCTGATCTAAATTAGTAGCAAACAATGCAATCTTGGCTCTTGCTTTCCCTGCCACCCTTTTCTCATCCAAGAATAAAATCTTATGCTGGGCACACACCTACAACCATCGCAAGACTTTTGTCTTGCGATGGTTGTAAGGTACATAAAAAAACATACGATCTGCCCATCTTGGACAGGACAGGCAGATCGAACTTGCGTTGATCGCAAGCCGCGCCCCCCTGAGGGGCGGGCTTCCGATGACCGCAATGCCGAATGGGGCCCGTCCGGCTTTTATCTTACGAACATGCTACATGTTCGTAAGTTTAAAGTCGTGCGACCTTACAGTAGTAGAGGTCGCACGGCTTCCACACACCTTACTCACTCTAGGTAGAGCTGCCCATATTCCCGCATCTACTTAGAGTGAGGACGGCTGGACGCCGCATGAGGTGATTTAATGCAGTTTGAAGTCCAGCCGTCCATCTCTCCTAACAGAAACTCTGTACCTCAGGAGCTCTGCCAGTTTGAAAATGTGCAGAAGCCTGAGCTTTGCAGCTTTGATGGAGTGATCATGATTGCAATGCTTTCCAGGCTTGAATGAAATTATTAAAGAAATGCATTTTTCTCTATATATGATGAATTATGCATTTCTTACATTTTTTCAAAAGGTGAACTTATCCTTTAAAGCAGTGCTTCTTAAAGTGTGGGTCGCGACCCCATATGGGGTCCCGCAAGTGAACAGGGGGGTCGCGATCCGAGTAAGTGCTGGGGGGGAGGAGAGACACCGACCAACCTTACGCTAGGGGATGGGGGAGACACCGACCTACGCTGGGGTCCCCTAAAAATTTCCTCTGCAAAAAAGGGGTCACGAGTGGAGAAAGTTTAAGAAGGCCTGCTTTAAAGTACCAAAAAAATCTGCCCTATTTTTGGAAACTCGGAACAATGCAACAAGAGAATTTATAGGTGCATTTTGGGGTACTGTATATGTGCATCGGAGTGCCATTCAGAATGTATGTCAATGCACTGCTTGGCACATATATACTACACATTACCATGCACATAAAACATGGGGTGTTAACGTGCACACAAGGGTGTGGAACCAGCCTTGAGCAGTCAAGAAAACAATGGTAGTATTTTGTAGCACTTTATCATCACAACTTCCTTTTATTGAAAAATACATTTTATAGTCTTAGTTATTTAGGTGTAACTTTATAAATACACATAATGGGATTTTAGGAGAAGGAATGTGTTGCATGTGTTGTCTGGGTCATTCAATTTATGCAAATATTTTCTTTTCACCAGATTCAAAGTCGTAGGAAAAAAATCTTAGATCTCTACGCAAATGTATGCAATGTTGCAGAAGGTAAGTATTCAGAATATCTAATGTATAAAGTACTGTGAATTTAAAGCTCAACTAAAGTCACAGGAATATATATTTAGCCAGTTAAACATTGTAGTAACCTTTATTTTCATACTTATCTCCTCTTTCCTCTTAAAGCAGATGTACGATGTGTCTAAGTATGACTGAGCGGTCCATTAGGGACTAGTGTTTGACCGTACCATCCAGTGCATTCTGTAATTTTACAGAGCTGGTCGGGTACTGCCCCCTCTATACTTCCTCTGAGTGAAGGCTCTTGTGATGAGGGCTTTGGCCATTACTCATCTTTGCCAGCATAGAGCACAGGAGTGAGGGTAGATTAAGCACATTTTTACTAACAGTAAAATATATTTTAAGACATTTCCAAGTAAAAATACCTAACAAATCATAACATATGGCAGTACAAGACTATAAAGAGAAAAGGTGTGAGGCTGCTCAAAAAGTGTACTTTGTGTGGACAAAATCAGTTTCTAATTTCAAACAATATCATGAGGTATAAAGTGACAGAGATCAAAGCCATTTACCATTGTGTATTTCTACCACTGCTGTTTCCTATATTTACAGCGTAGGTATAGAGAACTATGAGTGAGAGAACTAGCTGCTCATCAAATCAGGCCACATAAAAGTATCTACTATTATATCGCCATTAATCAGGTGACACACATTGATTTTATTATCAGTTTTGCTTTTAGATGTAATCAGGAAGCTTAATTTAATTAGTAAATATTCACTAATCTTGATGCCACATGTGTTTGCCTTTTCTTCTGATTCAGTCTTAATTCTGAGCATAATTTTGATTAGAAATCCGTTTTTCCAAGTATGTGACAACAATGCTGTGTCTGTCCCATCCCATCTTTTATCACATGATGTTATATAGGAGTTGCCACATACAGGTTCACTTTTGATAGAGCATTTGAGAATATATTGTCACAAAAAGATATATATAACCCTAATGTAATTTCAGAAAGAGGTGTTAGAGCAGAGTTCTTTATTACAATGAATCAAAGCAGCCCGTAACTGTGCAGCGCAGTCAATATAAACCCTGCAATAAAGATATTTCGTATTCATTTTTTTTTTTTTCAGGTTTAAGCCCGACCGAACTACCTTTTGATTGCCTAGAAAAGACCAGCAGGATGCTTAGCTCAACTTACAATACAGAAAAAGCAATAGTGAAAACATGGCGTCACCTTGCCGAGAGTTTTGGCTTAAAAAGGGACGAAATTGGAGGGATGACAGATGGACTTCAGCTTTTTGATCGGATTAGTACTGCAGGCTACAGCATCCCAGACCTGTTAACCAGATTAGTACAGATTGAAAGACTAGATGCTGTGGAGTCCCTTTGTGCAGACATTGTGGAGTGGGCACAATCTACACCAATAGTCACAACACCTACAGTGCCAAACACAGAAAATGTATGAAGTGTGATGAGACATATATCTTCAAACCTTAATGGAGGACAGAGTGCCTTTCCCTTTGGATAAGCCACAATGCACACTTTTGGCTGGACATTGGGGGTCAAAAAAGTGCAAGGAAACTATGATATGTAGCGTCTAAAAGGATTGTAAGACTTTTAGAAATATTACATAGGAAAGTAATGGATGGATGTTTTTTCATGGCGAGCCACACGTGAGGGGTCGGATCATGGCTTCTTATATACTGTTAAATACCACTATTCAATCCAAATCCCTTTGTTCGTGAATCTGTTGCCAGGATGGCTACTTCAATTCTAAATTCTCTACATTACCTGGTTTACTATGGACTTCAGACATTTTGTTACAAACAAATGTATTCTTCTGGGTTAGAAAGTATCTGCAATGCTTAATCCAGAAAGGAAACAAGTGTGAAAATGACTTCTTGTTACATAAACCATAAATATCTAATGAAAAGTATGTTGTGGTACAACCCAGTATAATTTAGAATTATCCTAAGGACATTTGAATAGAGTACTCAGTACATTCTGAAAGTTATTTATTGATCATTTCGAATCCTTCCTAGAAGAGCTGACTTGCAGGATCCGAAGGTAGCAACCAACTCCTAAATTCTGAAATAGTTTCAGAAGTGGAAAACTTAAAAAACCTGGTAAAATTGCCATTGTGCATATGCCTTACAATGAACTTGTGCTTTGTCAATGTGGGATACTGTTGCTTCCCTGCAGCTTCCCTGTCCTACCCTTTGCTTCTCTGCAGCTTCATGCAGCCACCAGAAACAATGAAAGTAAGCCTTATGTAACCTCCAAATCACGACATGGAGCCTCTACAGGGCTAAGGACTCTCTCTCTCCCTCTTCCCCTATGTGACAACACTGACTTTCTGAATAACAAATCAACAAATGCTTCCACGTGGCACAGAGAGGCCCTATAATCACAAGTACTGAGCATTTTCCATTACCTCTGGTGGCTAAAGGAGCATAGGAGGAGCAAATGGAAAGTGAGTATAAGCTACTTTGAAGGATGCAATTTAAATAAACGATTGAAGCTGACTTGAGTCAGTGTTTTGAAAACTGAACGAGAAATGTCTTTCCTTGAAATTGTGTAAAGTTACAATGGTAAGACAGTTCTTAAAGGCAGCCAACAATATTTTAAATACCAATTTTCTCTTCTCAGGTAGATGCAAATTGTCACACTATGCTACTACTTGTTTTGATAAGCCAGTGAAGCATGAGCTGTACAATGTGAAGGCTTATGTTTTAGTGGATAAACATTCATTCTAATTTCTAAACTGGTGGTTCTGGCATGGCTAGAATGAAGAAGCGACCACTTTAGCACCACCAGCTAAAAGCACATTCTTAGCCTCTGTCTTGCGGTGAGAATATTTGTCCTACTGCCCCAAAACCTGGGGTAATATCATGAAAACACACACACACATATATATATATATATATGGATGGATAAAGGGAAAGCATTATTTCATCTTCATGTCTAGGCACCTAAAATGAAAACAAGAAGTATGGGATTAGGATACCTCTTCCATGTTATACAGTAAGCATTCTTGCACAAAGAAAACGCAGTGCAGCTTTTTACCCATGAATGTTAAATGGTCCATGAGTATTGACAAAGGAATTCATTTTCTGTCATGTGTTCTAATGTCCTCACAAGCAGCTGGGGGGAACAAGTCTGCATTCAGCAATAACATTTTCTTTAACAATCACAGCTGCACATTCTGTACAATATGCTGGATTGAAGGGCAAGTACAGTTAGGAGAATGTGAATGAAATGTTTGTAAAGCCCAGTCTCAGCTATAAACCAACACGTTCTTGCGTATACTACTTTAAAAAGGTGAGGCCACCCAAACCCAATATTTGAGGTTGTTCTTGATTCTCACAAGTTTAATCACACCCAGGCTTCTTACATATTTTGGGGACTTGGATGAAAAGTTTGCTAAGCGGGTGTCTCAATGTACTCCCTTCTGCTAAGACTAATAAAAGCAGATCTAACTCTCTATTTGCCATTTTTAATTTATTTTATACTGTGGGGAATGTAGCAAGCAGAGTGAGATATTCCTGTTGCTTAGTCTGGACAACTTCATGAGTGAATGCTATGACTAAAAACTATGCACGGTAGCCATTCACGTAGGCTTTTGCAAAAAATACGTAAGCAAAGAGCAATGATAGTGTGCAAAGTACAGTAGTGCATGGCAACCAACCAGTTTCAGATCACTGAACGATAGATAACTGGGCAGTGATTGCTATGAATTACTGTATGTAAGTGATAGAGCATCACAGCTCATAGACTAGTTACTGATCAGAGGTGGACATATAAATGTGACAATCTATTGTCATCTCTGTTGATAGGATGTAAATCAAAATGTGATGAACAATTACCGGACCATGGAAAGCTGCATTCATGTTACAAATCCTGATCCCATGTATGCACCTATTATATGATGCACCCAAAAGGCATTGCACGAGTACTAAAGCATGAAATTGTTTATGTTTTCATTTTGTATATATAAGTTATTATATTTTATGATTGTGACTTTACAATTCCTATTAAAAAGGTACCAAAAATGCTTGTGAAGTTGATCTTGCATATCCTGCTATAAAACCAAACCTATTATCTTACAGTTAATAATATCATTAGCAAACAGAGGGATGCCTGTAAGAGGTGGAAACCTTCAGTCTACTTATAATAGGCAATACAATAGAAGCTGAATTAGTTTCATTTCAATGGCAGCTTTCTGTGTGTAAAAAAAGTGTCATAATATTATAGGGGAGCTGTCATTACCGACTTATTTTAATATGAGATCCAAAGACAACTCCCTGCAAAAGAAGCAATATATTTACCTCTCGGAGCAGAGCTACAGATAATCTCTCTATTCAAAAGCTACAGCTTCCGAGAGTCTTCACACTTCCGGGTGTGCTGGTTGTCTGGTCCCCAGCTATAGTGACGCAGGGGATTGTGGATGGAACCACAGCATGCATCAAGGGACTAGGCAGTAGATGAGAATGTTCTACAGCAGGCCGTAGCTTTTGAATGGTGATGTACGGAGGCATTGGTGAGAACCCAGTTCACCTTTGCTTGCCCAATCTCGTGCAAAAGTATGACTAACACAACCGCTCCCCAGCCCAATCAATTGTGGCAAGGCCGTTCCCTGTCACTTTGTCATGTGTAGCTGTGGGGCGAGGAATGCCCCGGGTCACAACTGATTAGACCGGAAGGAGTTTTGCGTGGGCTTGGGCAAACACAGGTGAACCAAGCCCTCACTCATCACTGCTCTTGAACGTCCTGCTCAAGAGAGGCAGGTACAGGCAGGTGCTCTGGAGAGGCAAGTACAATATTAATTTTTTTGTAGGGAGCTGCTTTTGGATTTTTTTGTAGTTTCTGTGTTGCTTTAAGAAGCAACATCATTCCAGTCACTAACCTGGAAAAGTTAGTGTGCATACTGTATTAAGGACTATTATTGTATATTCTGGTCAGTTACTCCCAAAGTACTGAAGAAAGGGTTCAGCCCCAGAGGTTTCATATTCAAAAACAAATCAGCAGAGGCAGCTCATGTAATTTCTATTTGTACAGATCCCCTTTTATCTGGAAACATACATGGAAATTAAAGGAACTTAACATTTCAAGACAATAAAGTCACTGCGCTAAAAAACTACAACTTATACATAAGCAATATACAATTAAGTGCCTAGTGATAGCCCCAACACAATATGTGACCTCCCCAATGGTTAAATTCAATACAATCTCAAAACTGCATGTGCAATGTATTGTGATCCAGATCACATGTGCAACTCCAAAAATTAGTCTCTATAAAACTCCAAAAAAAAAAGTATCTTTAAGGGGTAATTTCAACAATATATAAAGTGCGATTGTTCTCCATTCCAAAAAGGTATTTCTTAGCGTAACATCCTAAGTGTTTCTGTGCAATCAAATCATTCCCCCCATTCCCCCCACATCAGGACAAATTTCACATGTACTTTAGACTTCAGCCATGAGCTCTAAGGCAAAGGTTGGCGATAAGCAAAAAGAAGTCATAGGTAGAGAAGGCACGTCACCTTGTAATGGCTTGGAATTTATAACACTGTCCTCTTTTTTTAATGTCAGGATGCATTTTTATTTTCAAGTAATTTGCTTGGCAAAGGACTAAACACAGTTGAATGCAATACTGACTTGTCCCAGTTCCATAGTTATTCATTCTCGATATGAAGAATGCTTTAAAAATTGTACCAGATGTGTTCTTCATATTATCAATAAAACCAGGAACTGCCCTATTTTTTAATAAAAGTGCCATCTCAGCAAAGAAGATAATAAAAGTAGAATATTATGCATACATCTGCTACATTTAAGGTAACGTATTAAGTAGTTTTTCTTTTCTTCAAACATGGCTTTGGAATTTGTTCCTTTGTGATGTTTTGCTGTGGTTTCCTTTCATCTTTATGTTCAGTCGACTCATCTCATGAATACATCCACAGTTAGCATAAATGAAACATGGGCAGCCGTATGAAATTTGCATTCATTAAGACATGATGAAACACAGGGAAGAAGGAAGAGCCACAGATATGACTAGAAAAGCAAGGTAAAGGTGACATGAAACTAACTTAGAATTATGAGACAAGAAAACAGTGCTAGAGTGATTCTGTTGGGCATGATAGCTGAAACTAGGGAGCTGCGTAGCAGTTTTATTTGTGCTTTTATAAGTTTCCTTTTTATTACACCTTATTTCATTGCAGGATGTCTGCACAAAGTGTTATTTGAATTTTGGATTGAACAGACAAGCTATACCATGTGTCAGATACCCAGCCAGTGGCTATAAAGGGACCAGTTTAGAACTCTTAGCACCCCATTATCAAATCTAAACTTGTTATAAAGCAACTAAAACAACATTATAGCCTTATTGGATTCATTCAGTTGCCCAACCCCAAGAAAAAGAAAATCCCACACAAGGAGTGTTGTATTGATTTACTGGGTGCTTTTTGGTTTGATGTTTTTAATAAGGTTAAGCAAGGTAAGTTGGATGATTTTCCAAGGCAGATCATGTGGGATGCTCAGTAAGATTGTGGTAATTGTTGCAGTGCACTCACTATTTTGGCAGAGTCTGAAAGATGTCATAAATAGATATGTTACAATCTGAATAAAACCACAAATTGTTTAAGTGATATTAAAAT